GGAACTCGTGAAAAGTATGAATATATTTCCCTATATGTCATACTACACATTTATGGTACCTCTGAATAAAATATGAGTACTGAAGCCGTACGGGGAAACCCTCTTTCCGGATAAGGATGGTTTCCAGTATCCCTGCATGCCTGAGTTGACTTGTCACAAAGTCCACATCAAAGACCCCAGGAAGCTGGAAAAAAGCAAAAGTAAAACAGCAATGAGCCCTGAAACGAACAAAAACAGTTGACTTTCACAGAATTATCTGAAAACAAAAAACACAACCACTTTCATTTTGTTGTGTGTCATTCTGTGATGAACTTCTGATGATTTCATTTTAATTTCATCTATAGGATTTTTGACCCTCCCAAAAAGGAACTCAGCATCTTCATTTCTGCCACTTCCAGTTCTGTCTCCTGTCTTTTTGTCCATGTCTCTGTCTCCAGACCATACAACATAGCTGCTCTCACCACTGTCTTGTAAACTTTTCCTTTGACCTTTGCTGACACCCTTTTGTCTCAAATCACTCCTGAAACTTTTCTCCATCACTCCATCCTGCCTGGACTCTCTTCTTCACCTCTTCACCACACTCCCCACTCCTGGACAGTGGACCCCAAGTCCTTGAGGTCCTGCACCTTTGTGACCTCTGCTCCTTGTAGCCTCACTGTTCCACCTCCTCCCTCTCATTCACACACATGGACTCTGTCTTTCTGCAGCTGACTTTTACATGATGGCTTAAAATGTTTTCTAACAGCTACAATAATACATCAGCTGATTATTCACTCCATAGTTGGCATTTAACTTTTTTATGTTAGGAAATTATGTCCCACCAAAAAAAGAAAAACAAGCCAACCAGTATAGTTTAAATAGAAATATTATTTTGGATCCCATCAAATCCTCAGCTATCTGAATGTTAAAGTGATAGTTGTGTTATTTTGAAGAGGCTGAATAATCTGCGTTAATCATGACTAATAATATTGTCCTGTACAAAGTACAGGTTTTTCTCCTCTGTATTCTAAATGCAGCTTCTGGTGCAAAGTGGAAAATGTTGATCTGCAAGTGGATTCAAATTTTCCAGCACATTTTTCAGATTTTCTGAGAATTATATGAATTAATAAAAAATAAATAGTTCTAGACAAGTGGAACAATTTGACCTAATATCCATAAGCTGTATTTATTAGATCAATTAATAAAATAAAAAGGCACCCCTGAATAAACATTGTAATGTGGTTCACTTTGGAAACCAATACACCAACATTTGATCAGTGACTAAATATAATGAAATGATGACTTTAAGACAACATAGTTAAAAGTAACTAAGGAGCGTTTATTAGTAACACTTTACAATAAGGTACACAACATTTGCTTAACTACTAGGGAACGCCTAGGAACGAATCAGGAACAAATCAGGAGCTAATGGGCACATCAAAGTCCATGCTCAATAATCCAGGCATACAATCCAACATGTTTCAGTCAGGTCATCTGGACAGCTTCTTTTTGTGTGCTGAAACGTTAAGCTCTACATGCATTGGCAAAAACAAGCTTTGCTACACTACACACAGCAGTACACTAGATGCGTTTTAACTTTTAATGAGCTTTGCTAGCTTCCCCATACTCCTTCACAGCACTCTTTTCTTTCGGCTGCTCCCTGCGTCAGGGGTCTCCACAGCGAACTAAGTCGCACGAAGACTTGGAAGTTTGTTTTTTTATTTTTACGCCGGATGTCCTTCCTGATGCAACCACAGACACCGAGCTACCACAGCCTCTGTGTGGAGCAGAGAGCTGCATCTAGGACACCCGGAGGAGCAGATGGTGGGGGCCTTGCTCATGGGCCCAAAGTGGGGCGAATGAGGGTGGGAGCAGGTGTGGGTGCTTCACCTACTCCACCCACATTTTTGATGTTGTCGGTCCCGGGGCTTGAAACGGCGATCTTACGATCACAGGCCACCTTCTCTAACCTCTGCGCCACCACTCCCCTTCATATACTCCTTCACAGCACATGGTTACACAATAAGAAGCACACACCTATCACACATGGCTCTAACAAGTTGTTTTTTTTGGCTACACATTTCTTGCCACTGTAAATGCGTAGCCAGTAATGAGCTTTGCTGCCCAACACATAACTCTGCACAGCCTATGATTAGCCAGTAAGGATAGCTCTGCTACTCATAACTTTGCACTGTGCATGCATGGGCAGTAATGAGATTTGCTATGCTACACAACAATACATTCACAGTCATCGATGCTATTCTATACAAACCCCTGGACTGCAGATGTAAAACCATCAACAAGCTTTGCATTAGCTGCTTCATAAACATGCAAATGTTCATTGTTAAAGGTCAATCAAAGGGGAAATCTTCAGTTGAAAGGGGCTGTTACCTTGGCATAGTTTGGCTTCAGGCAACGAATAAAAGTGCTTTTACACCTGGAATCGAGAGAAGAAAACAAATTAATCAGTGTAGAATTTAATGTTTTAAATCAACACAGAGTAGCAAAATCTTGTTTCATATAAATATTCTACTATTATTAATGTTTAACATTTATTGTAAATTCATCTTTAGTAGATCCCTGCATTTGCACCTTTACTTGTGACACATCTGTGCTTAATAATTGATGAAGTAAAGAAAGGGTTTACATTTTTCTTTATTCACAGTAAGAAGGTTCTGCTTTAACATATCAGATAAGATATTTTATGTAAGGACTGCTTGTTGTCCCAGTGCATGTGTTGCAGGTTATAATCCTGATCAATTTAACTTTATTAATATTAGGTTCATTTATTTGATTATCTGCATTTGTGTGCTTTCTTAATTATTTTGCCTTTTGCACCTTTGAAATCAAATTAAGTTGTCTTTATTTGGATTAGGGGTTAGTTTAGCACCGTGACCTAGCAGGGATGTCAAACCCACTTACAAAAGGGGGCCAAAATTAAAACCTTATTCAAAAAAGAGCTAATTTCAGAAACTACATTAACTCAAATCAGATACCCAACATCTTTTCTTGGTCACAGGTTCCTCAACAAGAGCTGAGATGATTTCACATATCATCTTGAGGGCCAGATGTCAACGTGGGCCACATTTGGCCCCTGGGCCTTGAGTTTGACAAATACGAGGATCAACTAGGGGACTCCCCCACACTCAATAAAAGCGGGTGAATGGATAAGCAGTTATCCGGTCTCCTGTGATCATTTTCTCTTACTGTCTCCCTTCTTTTAAGCAGTAGCATTTGAAGGCGACATTGAAATTGTACAACAGCAAAGTAAAAAGTTCAGTACTACAGCCAGGCAGCCAGGTGATCATGTTTTAGTACACAACTGGATACCTTGTGGTGGCCCAGGAAAACTAAGGACTCATTGGGAGGACATTGTCCATATTGTTGTGTGCCAAGTAAATGAAAATGCCCCAGTTTATGAACTCAAACTCAACAAAGGTCAAAGGATGTCAAGGATCCTTCATTGCAATCTGCTTCTCCTATGTAACTCTTTGCCTCTTGAAATCCCAGTGCAGGCTGAAAAGAAGAGGAGAAAAGTTTTAAATAATGAAGGTGTGGAACAGTTGGAGGAATAGGATGATGATGCTGATGAATACTATCCTGTGCTATTGCAGCGGTCATGTCAGCCTGAGAAAGTAAACCCTATGCACAACCCAAGAACTGGTGGGTATCCAGTTCAAGGACATCACAGTACCTGAAATGGATCATGAACAAGGAGAAACAGCTGTGATGGAGTGTGAAGAGTCGGGCACTTATCATGAGGAAAGAATGATGGAGAATGTCACTGAACAACCTGCTTCATCAGGGAGGGAGCCCAACGACCTCAACGGCTCCACAGGAAGCCCAAAGTTTTTACATATGAGAGACTTGGCTCAGCAGTCTGCTACAACTTGAGGACTTCACCACAGCCTACACACCTCACAATGCCATGGATGAACACTGTTCACCCATACTACATCTCACATGGTCATCAGAAATGAGAGCACAGGACAAGCTGCACCAGTGAATCCAGAGAATGCACATACATTGGATTCACAAGATAATGGACTGTTTATTATGACACTCACAATGAGGGACTATTCTCCATGTGATAAGTACCTACAGTTTCACTGACGTGTTGGCATCCAAGCCACAACAAACTATTCCACAAACTCTTGTTAAGGAGTCACATGATGAATTTTAGGATGATGGACAAATAGTGAATTTTAAGTTGTTTGACAAAATAGACACTGAGTGTTTACCCTCAAAATGAGAATGTCTGAAAAGAGTTCCAGCCTGTAAATTGATTTCAGAGAGAAAAAACAACTGTTAGAAATGTTCTTAAGACTGACGTGTTGCTTCACATGTTTATGACTGCTTCCTTTTCCCAACACAGCAAGAGTTGAGATGTTGGGGACAACATCTATTTTGAGGGGGAGTGCGTTGCAGGTTATAATCCTTATCAATTTGACTTTATTAATATTAGGTTTGTTTATTTTGATCATCTGCATTTGTATGTTTTCTTAATTTGATTTAAAATGTGCAAAAGGCAAAGTAATTAAGTTTTCTTTGATTGGAATCGCCCATTAACGCCATGAGCTAGAGGGGGATGACTAGGGGGACTCACATGCTGTTTCTCCGACAATCAGTACAAGCGGGTGAATGGAGAAGCGGTGAGCCGGTCCCCTGTGATCATTTTCTCTTACTGTCTCCATTCTTTTAAGGGTTAACTTTTGGAGGCACCACTGGGATGTTCAGTGAGAGAATCATTCCCAAGATTCCTGTGAACTCCTCATGCTGATCACTTCAAAACAACCCAAGCATCGCAGACAGACTTGCAGAAAACACAATGTGCAGGTCTTCAAACAGCAGTTAGTTTGTATCCTGAAGTGAGCCCTGACAAACTAGGAATCATCACCAATCAGTTGAAGTCAGTGGGGCCCCATTTTATTGTTTCTGAAATCACAGTGTGTAAAATGGAGTCGGAGTTGGAAAAAGTTAAGTTGGAGATAAAATGAGCATTGTATAACTTGACAGCTGAGCAGATGATTAAAGTACGCACCACACTGTAACTTTCAGCACCTGGAACAGAACCTTTATAGTAAAACACGCAGTCACCTCATTTCATATGTCATCAAATATCTTGAGCAAGAGGAACTGGCCAGCCTTGAAGATGAAGGCATGTCAGAATATCTCAATATCTGGGACACAGTAAATAAAATATCATCTGTCCAAACTCAATCTGATGACCAGGAAAGGCTTCAAAAAGAGCTAGAGGCACTCAGATTGTCATTACAACAGAAAGAAAAAGAGGTCCAGTATGTCATGGACAGAAAATCACTCCCTCGCCCACAGGTTTCACAGACAAGTGCGACTCCGTCATTTTTTCAAGATTTTGTGACAGACAGGAGAGCCAGGCCAGAAGGATAGGCTGACATGTTCTAGTCTGGCAAGGCAGATTGAAAGTGGGCTGACCAAAAGATATTCAGAGACAGATATTATTGATGCTGTGATTCGTGCTATAACACCAGGCCTACAATTACGGAGCTATTTGGAGGGAAATCGATCGTCATCCTACCTGCTCTGTGTAGAAGCTTAAGGTCTCATTACCAGGAGAGGGGTGCCACAGATTTATACAAGCAGCTAACTTTGGAGGTTCAGAGCAGCAAAGAGTCCCCTCATAATTTTTTAATTAGGCCAATGGACCTGAGACAGAAAATTCTGTTTGCCTCTCAGGAAGCTGAGTCAGTTTTAAAATATGACCCTGCACTAGTCCAAAATCTGTTCATGCATACCATTTTGACTGGTTTGCAGAATGACAACATCAAGAGTGATGTTCAGTCTTACCTCACAAAGTCTGACACACCAGGTGAACCCTTTCTGGAGAAAGTGAACATTTCTTGTACAAATAAAAAGGAGAGGCAAGACAAAAAGAGGCATGTTGCCCCATGAAGGGCAACCAGTGTGAGTGCTGTCCAGCCTGGTGAGCTGCCAAAGGAAACAAAACCTTCCACCCAGCAAAGCCGATATTACATGTCCCCTGACATGTTATCTGAGATCAAAAGATGCGTTCTGACATGGTGTAGACATGAGAGCCGAAGTGTCCCAAATTAGGGAAACAACCCCAAAAAACACTACTGCACAGCCCAAGCAACCCCCACAAAGTTCAGAACAAGTGTCTACTGCAAGTCCAGTGTTCCCATCTACAGAACAGTCCTTCAGGTCTATGTCACCAATGTTGCCATTTTACCCTCAGCAGCACCCAGAATTGCTGCAGGAGTACAGGCCTCAGTATGTTCCACGATGGATGAGAGGGACTGCACAATTTCAACAAAGGTTTGCTCCACACCGATATTACCATGTACCATGTTCTGCATGAACTTTAGTGTTTTGAACCACTTTGGCATGACTTTCTCAGAGGAGTTGATGGGGGAGAGGGCAGGCCCCTGAGGCCATCTTAGTCCTAGCAAACTGTTTTTTCCCCATTATGGAGTATGCTTTTGTTGTGGAATCAGTTTTGTTTGTTGGCTCCTCAGATTGAAGAAGTCCTTTGGATGAAGGACGAAATGTCTCAGCTTATAAAAAAGAAACCATCCAGATGACCTGACTGAACAATGTTGGATTTTATACCTGGATTATTGACAATGAACTTTGATGTCTGCAACACATGCTTTACTTTCTAGCACTTCCCACAGAATGCCTCTGGGAATCATGTCAAAAACCTTCTCGAGCTCCATGAATGCATATGAACTGGGGAGTCAAACATCCACGACCCGCTTAGTAACACCCCCAAGAGAAAAAACTTAATCCACTGTTCCACAACCAGTAAGAAAGACACTATTCCTCTTGAATTCAAGGGTTGGAAATCAGTCAGCACCACCCTTCCAACACCTTGAAGTAAACTTTCCCAGGGAGGCTTATTGACGTGATCCATGGACAACTGAAACGTATGTTTGTCTTCAAAATGCCAGAACAATTTTCTTAAAAGTTAAGTCAGGACCTCTGGACGATTTCTTTTTGTTGAAACATTTCGTCTTTTATCCAAAAGATTTCATCAGTCTGAGCTAATTATCACAGAGAAGGTGCCATTCATAAGACTGATTTTGTTGCAGCTCCTCAGACTGATGAAGACTTTTGGAATGACTTTTTGGACCTTTTAGGATTTTTGGAATACAGGTCTCTCTTGTAAATGAGTCCTCGTGACTCAATGAGACTAACCTGTACAAATAAAGGTTGAATGAAAAGACTAAAGCTTTCAGAAATCAGCTGTTTGAAGCTGATCCTGTACCTCTGCAGACGGACGGTGAGTTCAGTCAGAGACTGGAGAAAATGTGAAGCAGCAGTAGAGGCCTGTTGGCGCAGTCCTTTCCCCCTCCAGCCCAGTTCCCTCTGCTGGATGTAGTTATCCTGAAGCTTCCGAAACAATTCAGAAATCATCTACAAAACCACATTAAACAAACACAATGATCAAAATAAAAACAATTCCAATAGTCATCAATAATCATAAGCAGCTTTGTACACAGTAGGGAAAAATGCAACTACGATGATGTGGAAAAAGTATTTGTCTCTTTACACATTTTGCTTCTTGTCACAATTATTAAACAATTTATTTAAGTGTGACAAACAATCTTCCACAAATTTGAACATCAAAACTTTCAGGTCATGAAGCAAATGATGCCACAGACAATCTGAGGAAATACAAAATGCAGTTTTGCCAAGCCCAGACCTGATTACTCCTAGACCTGTGGAATGAAGAAATCTCTTACGTTTATCCACAAAGAAAACACTGAACAGTGGTTAAACTCCCAGGAGTTGCTGCCTGACCAAAACTACTCTAAGATCACATTGACAACTCATCTAGGAGGTCCAAACAGAACTCAGAACAACATCTGAATCCCTGAAGGCCTCACACGGATCAGTGAGGAAAAGTAAATGGACTGCACTTAAATAGCTTCTGTCTATCTGATCAAGACACTCAGAGGTCTTCACTCTACAATCTGTGCCTCATTTATTCATTCATACAGCTCTATACTAGATCTCTACAAAGATTAATCAGTGATTTATCACATTCATACACCAATGGGACACACATCAGAAGCAATGAGGGGTTCAGTGTCTTGCTCAGGGACACTTCAGCATGTGACTGCTGGTGGAATCAAACCCCAAACTTCTGGATTGGAGGACGACTGCTCTAACCACTCAGCCACAGCTCCCCCAAGTACATGAGTCAACCAAAAGAAAGAGACAAAAATGGCCTCCATGGGAGAGTTCCAAGGCAAAAACCATTGCTGAGGCAGTGCTTTGTCTCACATTTGCCCCCCCCCCCCCAACAAAAAACAAACAAACAAACAAACAAACAAAACCTTTATCAAACTCAAAACTCCTGGGAAATATTCTGGAACTTTCTAGAAAACGTGGATCTTGTTACATCTGGCGTTAAACCAACCCTGCATTAAAGGAGAAGAAGATCCAACCTATAGTCCACACAGTGATGGTAGTACGATGGTCTGTGGCTGCGTGGTGGGATGACCTACTGTGACTGACAGAACAAATGGATTCTGCTCTGTCAGGAACTCTCGAAGGAGAACGTCTGGCCATCGCTTGGGACTGTAAGCTCAAGCTCACCCGGGCTCTGCTGCAGAACATGCAGCACAGCAGCAGCGTTGCTCCTCAGCAACACTCGTCACCAGTTCTCACACAGAACTCATCCAAGGATGGCAACTATTAGGTTTAAGGACAATTACTTGTTCTCTCAAGCTCAGGCTGGCTTGGACAGCTTCTTTCACCTAATTAACAAAATATTCATTTACAAACTGCATTTCATATTTGTTCAGGTTATTTTTGTCTGATATTAACATTTGCTTGATGACCTGAAAAGTGTAAGCATGAGTAAAATGTAAAAACTGAAAAAAATCTGTCAAGGGAACAAATATCTCCACAACACTGTAAATAAATCAGATTGTATGTTTTTAGGTCTTTATGAATTCTGATAAAATACAACAGTTCTATAAATTTATAACTCAATATTAAATCAAAATATTTGTAAAACTGGTTTCTTTCAAACGTATAGGAAATATATATATACATTTGAAATGAAAGATTTGGAATATTGTTAATAATTTATTTTGTGCCACCTTTATACGGCTGCTGGCAAAAAGCTCCACCACTTCTGTCCTAAACTGGTCGTGGTTCTTATTTCGGAAATTATGGACCTGTAAAAAGTTCAAGGCATTCTTTGTGAGTCAAATTTAAATGTGCACGTTGCAGCGATGTGAAGTACTTGAAACTTGATGTACCTGGTACGTGACAGGACCAGCATAGTGATAAATTGTGAACACTGGCAGTGGGTTCTTAGGCTTGGCATACAATGGGTTGCTTGCATGGTGGTAGTGGCATTTTTGGAGGAAAGTGTGGTCTGTGGCCTGTTCAGGAAGACAAAATACTACAATGTGACAAGAATGGAAGACAGGCGAGTTAAAAAAACATAAAACAGGCAAAGCTCAATTTTAAAGATATTGAGCTACAATTTGACTTGAAGTATCGAAGAGTTAATATCAAAACACACGATAGCTGCTCACATTTGGCACGTTTGTTTAACATTTTACTAAAAACCATTTGTAGTAAACTTTGTTTGTTAGTATTTTAAGTAAGAGGTAGATACACGGGTGTTCTTTCATTTTTTGTCCTATATTTTGTTTGTTTAAAAAATGTTGCATTTGTAGCTAAAGACAGGGGGAAGACAGAAAGACAGACAAGAGATAATACTTTCCAATGTACTGTATGCTTTAAGAGTTTGAGATTAACTTGCTATTGTGACTGAAAAAATTAGAATGATGTTTGGGACTGACAGGGAGGCCGGCACCTGTGGAAGGAAAGTCTGATCATCCAGAATACGAAGGATGCCGTGTGGCCTGGAGGAAATCAACTCCAGACATAAGCTGAAGTTTTTGATTGGCATCGGATACCACTGGATCTGTTCTGCACTGTACTCTTCCTGTAGGACGGACACACACACGCACATGCACGCACGCACGCACGCACGCACGCACACACACAGAGAGAGTAAAGTTTTAAGGATTTCTATGTAGAAATGAAGACATCTAGAAAGTGAACTGCTGTCATTGTTCATGCACCAACCACCGACCTGCTCCTGAGAGATCACTGCTTTGTTGACAAAGTGCTGCAACTGCTCATTGGCCAAGTTGATACACAACTGCTCAAAGCTGTTCACGCTCAGATCCTGCACACAGAAGAAGTGGGACGTCACCTACATTAAAGTAGCATTAATTTGAGCTAAAAACTAGAAAAACATGCAAAAGGGGGTGGGGGGTAAAGAAGTGAAAAAGAGAGTCCAGGCAGGATGGAGTGAATGGAGAAAAATGTTCAGGAGTGATTTGTGACAAAAGAGTGTCAGCAAAGGTCAAAGTACTAGTTTAAAGACAGTGGTGAGAGCAGCTATGTTGTCTGGTCTGGAGACAGAGACATGGACAAAAAGACAGGAGACAGAACTGGAAGTGTCAGAAATGAAGATGATGAGGTTCTTCTTGGTATGGTATAAAGTTTATTCATTTAAAAAAGTACAAAACAATTCCATAACAATATAAAAAAACACAAGAGATTTAAAATGAAAGGCAGCAGAAAGAAGAAAAAATCTTATTATATCTGCCCTTTTTTCAAACAATTAGTTCAATCATAATAATCTTCAAGTAACAGAACAAAATGAATAACTCTTTCTAATTTTTCTAATTCTAATACAAAACACACACTAAGCTACTTCATATATACTTTTTTAACAATTCAGCTTTGATCTTTTTCTTAAATGTGCACATTGACTTGGCATTTTTCACATCACTCTCTAGAACATTCCACAATCCAACTCCTTGGATTGAGGTAGACCTTCCCTTCAGACTAGTTCTGAATTTTGGTTTGACAAATATCTCTATCCCCTTAAGATTGTAATGTAGTGATGTACAAATTGTACATCACTACAAATGTACAAATTTTAGCTTTAGAATGAACACATCGACATTACTTTCAGCTCTCTGAACACCACAAGCCGAATCATGCTGTATCAAGCTCAAAACTTGGACCTTTTCACGCCAACATTCAGCGTCCATCTCAATGACAGTCCCCGTACGGGCCACCAGAATGTAGTGATGTAGGGCTAGGTTAGCTTCAGTTAGCTTAGAGCTCCACTACAGTCAATTTTTAATAACAGGTTCTCACTTTTTCTAGCTACTAGACAGATATGTGACAGAGTTACTGTGTTGTTGATGGTTTAATCAGTGACATGAGACGTTAATTTTCTTTGACCCATCAAAATGAATGTGGTCATTTATTAACAGAATCAAAATTTAACATCAAAACATTGTACACTTGATTATGATCGGCTCTGATTAAAAAAACTTGGCACGTTTTACTTAATAAAAACAACAGACATTTCTGAAGATATCTGGATTAATTACTGGCAAGATAGAAGTTTGAAGATGGGAAATGAAGGAGTTTGAATGGAGAAAAAAGATGCGGAGGAAGAAAGTTTGTTGACGAGGAATGGCACCATTCATCCGACCCCAGCTCAGCCTCGGTACACTCGGTAGTGAAGCGACTCGTTACCTTTGCAGAAGATAGGTCAGCTCCGGTACGGAGTTCCTTTTCAACGCTACCTTTCAGCGTCTCCTTAGGATGGCTGAGAATCGTCCGAAGTAGTGACGGTACTCCGTTCAACAACACGCTCACCTCCCGGGTGGACTCACATGAGCTGTGAGTCCGTCAGCGGTTCCACTCAGATGTGGAAGGTTCCATAATCCCAACTAGACTCGGAAGAACTCCCAACTAACTCCAGCACTTCAGAACTTTCTCCAGGCACTACAACTTCAGAACCAGCCCTTTCCCTCCGAACTGGAACTTTTCTGAACTTCTGTTCTGACTGGAACTAGGAAGTGTCGACTTTTAAAGAGTTCTGCTTCTGGTCACTTTTGGGAAGTCCTGATTGGTTGAAAGAACCAACAGGGGTGTGGTTTTAGTGACGTCAGAGGGTCATTACAAGTCAGAAAAACAGCTGAGATGTTTAGGAACAGAGAGAGAAATGTTTTGGAGAAATGACAGACTTACAGGTGCCAGTTTTCTTGTTCCTGTCTGAGAGGTTTAAAAACACGACGGTTCGTTCCAATAACTTGCTTCGGACTGTCTCCGACTTTTGACCGACATCACTCTCTCATGTCAGACAGAAGATCAAAAATGCATAATTACTTTGTAAAATAGACATTTAACTTGATTTCTACTTTGTATGGGGATTAAAATCATTAATACTGTTTCACAGTTGATTTAAAATGAGTGGTTCATTTCAACATTTAAAAATGGTTTGAACTAAACACACTTTTGATTATCAAGACATTGTAAAATAGTAATGATAATATGAAAAAGAGAGTGTTCTTTCAATTGATTAATTCAGGATACAATTAAATAGTCTCTGGATGAGCTAATTTGTATTTCTGGATTCAAATCAATGAAATAACAGTTCCTGTCCCATGAAGGTCTTCAGAAGCAGGTTTGACCGGAGGCCTAGTTCACTACAATAACAACTTTGTCTTTTAATAAAATTTCTTTGGATATTTAATGGTAATGTGTTATTTTGAGCCCTATACATAACTGATAAAATACTGTAATCTACCAAATCATGGAACTTCAGTAACTTCAGTTGATAAAATAATGTGCTTGATGGGTGACAGTAATGCTTTCTGGTGATAATTCTTACAGCTCTTTTCTGTAAAATAAAAATAGGTTTTGTAAATGTTTTACACGCTTTCCCCCCAAACATCAATGCAATAGATTAAATGTGGAACAATGATTGTGTTATACAACATGTACAGAGTTTGTCATTTAATAATTCCCTGACTTTGTATAGTACTGCAATAGATTTAGATATTTTTGTTCTTACAGAATTTATGTGATTTTTCCATGTTAGCTGTTCATCAATGATTACACCCAAAAATTTCATCTCATTAACTCTACAAATCTCAACACCCTCAATTTTAAATGGATCATCAACAGTTCTCTTTTTGTTACTAAATATCATGTATTTAGTTTTATCTAAATTTAATGATAATTTATTAAGTTTAAACCAAGTTTGTATTTTATCAAATTCTGTCTTCATCAATTCCAACATCCGTTTTACATCTTTACCCAAACAGAAAAATGTGGTGTCATCTGCAAAAAGGACACATTTGAGGAGTTCTGATACATTCACTAAGTCATTCACATATAAAATAAATAACTTTGGTCCAAGTACAGAGCCTTGAGGAACTCCACAAGTGATTTTGCACAGGTCAGATCTTACACCATTTATTTGTACAAACTGTTTCCTATCTTTCAAATAGCTAGATACCCAGTGTAATGCTGGTCCTCTTATACCATATTTATTTAATTTTTCAACGAGAATAGTGTGGTCAATAGTATCGAATGCTTTTTTTAAATCAACAAAAATACTAACACAATACTGTTTTTGATCGACAGCAGTAGTTATTTGTTCTATTATTTCCATGAGAGCCATTGATGTAGAGTTTTTTGCTCTAAACCCATACTGACTGCTACTTAAAATGTTTTGTTTAGTAATAAATTTATCTAATCTGGTCACAAATAGTTTTTCTAGAATTTTTGAGAACTGTGGTAATAAGGATATTGGTCTATAATTATTGAACACACATTTATCACCATTTTTAAAGAGAGGAACTACCTTAGCTACTTTCATATTGTCTGGAAATATTCCTTTTGAAAATGATAAATTACAAATATATGTAAACGGCTCGATAACATAACTCATTATGTCCTTTACAAACATCATATCCATGTCCACCCAGTCTTTTGATCTCTTATCTGTAAGATTTTTTACTACATTCATTATTTCTTCTTTGTCAGTTCCATTAAGAAAAATACTGTTGTCACAACTTATATCTGAATGGTTCACATTATTGTCTACTTTTGGTATTTTAGCTGCAAGGCTTGATCCAACGTTCACAAAATGATGATTAAATCCATTTACAATTTCATTTTCATCATGGATTTCATCGTCATCCTTCAAAAAATATTGTGAAATACCTGTTTTTGCTTTATGACTTTTCAGAACACTATTTATTACTCGCCATGTAGCTTTCATATCACCATTACTTTTATTTAATAAATCACTATAATATTCCTTCTTGTGTTTCCTTATAATCCCTACTAATTTATTTTTATACTTCTTATATTTCTTTTAGGCCTCTTGTGTTCTCAATTTCAAGAAACATGTATACAAATGTATACAGCATGTCCTTAGTGACAAGGATGGAGAAGATCAGGAATGAGATCATCAGAGGTACAGCACAGGTTGAACAACTGGGAGATAAAGTTAGATAGACCAGACTGAGTTAGTTTGGACATGTCCACAGGAGGGACAGTGTTTTGGACATGTCAAGAGGAAAGACAGTGGTTTGGACATGTCCAGAGGAGGGACAGTGGGTATATTGGTAGAAGGATGTTAGAAATGCAGCTGCAGGAAAAAGACAAAGAGGAGACATATGGATGCAGTTAGAGAGGACATGGAGGTAGTTGGAGTGAGGACAGAGGATGCAGAGGACAGAGTGAGATGGAGGAGGATGAATCACTGTGGTGACCCCTGAAGAGGGAAAAGTCAGAAGGCGAAGGAGGAGAAGGAAAGAAGAAGACGTGACTGGAGGCTGCTTACCAACCTCAAACCCATAGATGTCCACTATACCCACAGTGCTGTCCATTTCTGAGGGATTCAGCCAGTCATTGATCTGCTCCAACAACCAGTCAAACAGGACTGAGTACAAGGCTTTGGCAATGGCATCTCTGGAGACAAAGACAGGAAGTTACCTCGACTTCTCATTTAGAACTAGAAGACTTAACCATCTAAAACTAGCAAGTAGAGTTATTAAAACTGAAACATTTTGAACATTGACTTTCTCTGAGTCTAAAAGACCTTGGATATTGTGATTTACCTTTGTATTATGTGTTCTTTCATTTTTTTAAAGTAATTTGGGTTGCAAAACGTAACAAGATAAATGTTAAAATACAGTGAAGTGCATTTGCTGTGCTGACCCTTGGAACAACAAGTGTCAGAACAGATACTGGTTCATCATTGTAGTTCTTCTAAATCTGTTTCACTAAGGTTTGACTGCACATTCTACACAGACACTCAGACTGACCAGTGGAAATAATCAGTGCTTGTAGGTAAACACATGCAAACACATAACAAACATTTTTGATTAGTGTTTATTAAGAATTAGGAAAGACATTGATCAAAGAGGCAGTTCAAATCTTTTAAAGTGGGGTCTGTGAAGCAGCTAGCTGTAACAGTTAGCTTGCAAAAAGCCACAGACTATTTAATCAAATTATTATTAATATTTAATAACATTTAATCTAACTAGATAATTTACATCTGCCTGATCCCCGTAGTCGAGCCTGGCTCGCACCGCGGGCTCGCACCGCGGGCTCGCACCGCGGGCTCGCATCGCGGGCTCGCACCGCGGGCGCGCACAGCTGCGAAGTATCTGGTCCTTGGAGGCACGCTTCAAACTCCAAATATCTGAAACAGCTGATCTGTGCTCCGAGCTCAGCTTTACCTTCATCTACTGGTCCTACAAAGATTGCTCTGCTGAATGTGAGGTCGCTGACAAATAAAACTTTCATCTTAAATGATTATTTCTACTCCAATGAGCTGGACTTCATGTTTGTAACAGAGACCTGGCTCGTCCCTGGTGCGTTAAGTGTTTTTTCTGAACTTTTGCCGGTGGATTGTGCCTTTTTTAATGCTCCAAGGACTTCTGGTTGGGGTGGTGGATTATTAACAGTTTTTAAAAAGCTCTGGAACTGCAGACAGCTACAGGCTGTGACTTTTCAGAGTTTTGAACTGCTGTATTTTGAGCTGGGCCGCTCCAACCCAACACTGTGCTGCCTGATCTACAGACCACCCTCATACAACAAAAACTTCATAAGTGAATTTTCTGACTTTCTGACTGGAATACTGCTCAACTACGACAGGCTCTTGATTCTGGGAGACTTTAATGTGCACGTTTGCTGTCCTGACAAGCCTTTGGTGCAGGAGTTTCTAAATCTGTTACAATCTTTCAACCTTGTGCAAAATGTTGTTGGTCCAACTCATCACCAGGGCCATACACTTGATTTAGTTCTGTCTCACGGTTTATCTGTGGTTAAAATGGAAGTTGGGGATGCTATTGTTTCAGATCACAAACCCATTTGATTCCAAACCTCTGTTATTCATGAGTCTAAATCCTCCGCTCCAGCCAAGAGTTGTCGGATATTTAACTCTTCAACCGCTGCTCTTTTTTCCTCTGCATTCCTTACTGATGCTGCTTCAGTCCCTGAAACCTCTGCCTGTATTAGTACGCAGGAGCTGCTCAGTAGGCATGATGCGACCTGCTCTAAGATTTTAGACCTCGTGGCCCCGCTAAAAATCAGGCGACCAAAGCGGGCACCACACCCCTGGTTGAACGCGACCACTCAAGCAGCCAAACGTCTATGCAGGAGAGCTGAACGCAAGTGTAAGAAGGACAAATTACAGGTTTCTTTTATTATGTTAAAAACATGTTTGAAAGACTATCAGAGCATCGTTAAATCTGAAAAGAACAAATCCTTCTCCCAAATCATTGCTTCAAACAGTCATAATCCCCGTGTTCTTTTTAATACCGTAAATTCCATTTTAAACGTGCCTCGGTCTGCCAGCATGGAGGCCTCTGTTGACATCTGCAACAACTTTACCAGATACTTTGCTGATAAGGTAGAGTTGATTAGGTCATCCATCCCCCAGTCCACAACTGACCCCTCTGTCTTTGTCCCTTGCTCAGCTGTCTTCAAACAGTTTGAACCCATTTCACTCCCATTTCTAAACAAAGTCGTTGGTCAGATGAAACCCTCTGGTTCCCCCGCTGACCCCATTCCTGCGTCGTTTTTCAAACAAGTTCTACCCACGATTGGACCCCCTGTTCTTACTATTATAAATAGTAGTATTGTGACAAGTGTGGTTCCCGATGTTTTCAAACATGCAGTAGTTCATCCGTTAATTAAGAAACCTGGACTTGACCCTTCGACTTGCTCAAATTTCAGACCAATCTCAAAACTTCCCTTCCTGTCCAAAATCTTGGAGAAAATAGTTTTTATTCAATTAAACAAATTTTTAAATGAGAACAGACTCTTCGAGATTTTTCAATCTGGTTTTAAGCAACTCCACAGCACTGAAACAGCATTAGTAAGGGTTTGTAATGATATTATGATATCAAACGATTCTGGTCAGTTTTTGGTACTTGTGCTCCTGGACTTTACTGCTGCTTTTGATCCTGTTGACCACAGTATCCTCATATCACGGCTGGAACAATGGGTTGGGATCACAGCTGCTGCATTAGAATGGTTCTGCTCAAAGCTGAGTGGCAGGAGTTTTTGTGTCAAGGTTGATAATAATGTATCCGCTTCATTACCTCTTTCATGTGGGGTCCCACAGGGTTCGATTCTTGGACCCCTTCTGTTCTCACTTTATTTGCTCTCACTGGGGTCCATCCTGAGGAAACAAGGTCTTTCATTCTATTGCTATGCTGATGACTGCCAGATCTACCTGCCTGTGAAACCAGAAAGTGTTTGTTCCATTCACCCTCTGTTAAAATGTCTGGATGACATTAAGGCCTGGATGGCTTCAAATTTCTTAAGTTTTAACAATGGCAAGACTGAAGTCATTGTCTTTAGCCCTAGCTCAACTGCCGCCACTGATCCTGTCAACCTGGACTCTCTTCAGCCATATCTAAAGCAGTCTGGTAAAAATCTCGGGATGGTTTTAGACTCTGACTTCAAGTTTGACAAACAAATCAACTCTGTTCTGCAGAAAAGCTTCTTCCAACTCAGACAGGTAGCTAAGCTCAAGCCAGTGTTGTCCAGACCCGACCTTGAGAAACTAGTCCATGTAACGAACCCCGTATAATGGACCAAAATCACCACCACAAAAATCAATTAAATAAAGTTTATTAACTGATGAAAACGGCAGGATGGACCTCGGCAAGCTTTCGCAGACTGTGGACCGGTTCCAGGTTCCAATCACCGATCCACACGAACAGTCTAAAGATGGAGAACGGTTAGTGGTTGTGCAGGTGACGAGAGTGAAGACAAAGTCAGATGAAAAAACAACCACTAACCGTCTCAGTGATGATGGGGGTTCTGAAGCGCTGAAGCGGGTCCAGCTGACCCGGATGACTGCTGGAGGAGCTGGGTCTGGTGAGAGACGACAGTCGGCAGCAGCTGAAGCTTGCAGCGAGGTCTGCAGGATAAGTTGGTGTCTCCAGCACCGAGCGTGATCCAAAACAAGCGAGTGGTGGAGAGTAGAGCTGGTGGGGATGATCCGAGAGACGTGGTCGAGCAGGCGTGGGTCAGAACCGATGATCAGATGCCGAGATAATCCAAGGAGCAGACGAGAGACGAAGTCAGGAGATCCGTGGGTCCAGAAGCCGGGAGGTCGAGCCGAGAGGAAGGGAACAGGAAACGACGGGAGGACAGAAACGAGTAAAACAGGAATACAAGGACTTGAGAGGACAGGACAGGGACAGAGCGTGGTCATGAGCGTGAGGTATTTACTAACTAAAAGTGTTCAACTACCGGGCACCGAAAAAGAGTCAGCTGTGAGCTTATAAAGGGAGAGGAGGACAGGTGCAGCCAGTTGAGCGCAATCAGCGCTGCTGGCTGCAGTGAAGACAATGTTAAACTAGGAGTGAAGACAAACCTCAACCCACATGCAGAGAAAGAAAAAGAAAAACAAAAGAGTAGATCCCCAGAACCAAAACAAGTGAACAGAGTGACACAAAAACCTAACTGACAGACGTGATTCGTGACAGTCCATGCCTTTGTCATGACCCGATTGGACTATTGCAACGCACTGTATGCTGGGATCAGCCAGGCCTCCATCTCATTTCTTCAGCTCGTCCAGAATGCTGCAGCTCGGCTTTTAACCGGAAGTCGTAGGTCTGAACATATTACTCCAGTTCTGTCCTCCCTTCACTGGCTCCCTGTTCGTACGAGGATAGTCTTTAAAATTCAACTGTTGACCTTCAAATGCCTAAATGGCCTCGCACCCCTTTACCTCTCTGAGCTTCTGGAACCTTACGTTCCCTCTCGGGCCCTGAGGTCATCAGATCAGCTGCTTTTGGCTGTTCCAAAAACAAGACTGAAGCTCAGAGGAGATTGGGCTTTTTCAGTCATGGGCCCCAAACTCTGGAACAACCTGCCCCCCAACATCAGGCAGGACACCTCCCTTCAACCTGCCCCCCCCAACATCAGGCAGGACAATTCAATTCAATTCAAAAATACTTTATTAATCCCAGAGGGAAATTATTTGTTGTTGTAACTCGTTATCCTCATTTCATTAAGAGATGTTATAGATACTGATGCTGTAGACAGGAAGGATCTCTTGTAAAGGTCCATCCCACAGTGGATCCTAAGAAACTGGCTGCAGATGTCGTCTGATCTGTCCACCCAGACTCGGCTGGCCTCTCGGTTCCCCTCGGGCTGTAGGACCGCCCAAATGCTGGGCAAAACTCCTCCCAGAGCGATGGCCACTCCTCCCAGCAGTCTGACGAGCTCCTCGTCACTGTGGACAGCCAACTGTAGGTGCCGAGGGACGATCCTGTCCTTCCGCTGCCACGAGCCGTGTTTCCTGCTAGTTCCAGGATCTCAGTGGTCAGGCACTCGAGCACAGCTGGCAGGTAGATGAGAATGCATCCACAGAACATCCTTTTCAACTCACTTGAGATTTGGGGCTGTAGTTGAGATATTATTTGAGCTTTTGAGAAGTTAATCAGCTGCTGTTGTTGTAGAAAACTGCCTTGTTGCCATGGTTACGCATCATAACAAATGTCCAAAACTAAAAAAGTTTCAGTAAAAATCCTTCCAGCTGCTCAGCATCTGATACCAGAGGAAACAATCATCCAAAAAATATGATTTACATCCAGAAAAAGAGGAATTAAAGTTTCCAAAGCAAAATCTCAGAATGAAAGTAACAGAGCTGCTCCAACATGCAGCCACCTGGAGCGGTGCAGTTCTAGAACATTTCCAATTCCCTTCCTCACTTCAAGTCTCTGCTTAAAACACATCTGTTTTCTCAGGCATTTCACTCAGTGTAAATTGATCTAGTGTTTTTTAATCTGTGGCCCTATTTTTTAAATGCTTTTTATTAATTCTTCAGTTATTATTATTAGTGTATTGTATATATATGTTTATATATTTTTCTCTTTAATTTACTCATTGATTGTTGCTGTTGTTAAGCACTTTGATAACAGGTTCTGTTTTATATGTGCTCTATAAATAAAGATGACTTGACTTGACTTGACATTTACTGCACAAATGCACTGTGAATGCTTATTGCTGAAGAACTTGCTAAAAAACAGCTGAAATTAGCTAAAACATGTTGAAATGTAGCTGAAATGGAAGAACAAGTCTAAGTTAGCAGAAGTAGAAAGAACACATATTTTCTGAAACAGAAATTGGAACAAAAATTAGGAAATTAGCAACAATATAGCTGAAAAGTAGCTTAAAAGGCAGAAAGAAGCTTAAACCACCAGAAGGAAGTGGAAGGAGCTGAAATGAGCTCAAGAAAGAAATTAATAAGGAGAAATGTAGCAGATATTAACATGAAAAACTTGAATTTATCTTAAAACAGCTTTAATTACTGTAGCTGAGAAATGCTAAAAAAAAGTTAGCTGAAAGAGTAAAACAAGCTTAAATTAGCATAGGAAGTGGAGGGAGCACAGTTTTACCCAATTAGGCTGAAAAAAGCAGAAATGAGCACAAAAAAATGGAAATTATTGAAAAAAGGCTGAAATTAGCAAAAACAGCTGAAAAGAAACACCCCCACCCCCCACCCCAAAATAACAAACAAACAAACAAAAAAACAGAATCTTAAATTACCAGAAGGAAGTGGAGAGAGAACTTTGTTTTCTGAATTAGGCTGAAAAAAGTTGAAATGAGTGCAAAAATGTGGAATTAGGTGAAAATGTTAAAATTAGAATAAAAAGCTAAATAGAAGCTGAAACATTACAAAATGCTGAAATTTGCAGACATAAGCTGAAAGGAGCATAACAACCTGAAATAAGCAGAAAAAAAATTAGAAGAAGCACAAAAATGTTGTAGTTAACCAACAGAATTTGAAAGGAGCAGAAAGCTGAAAGTAGCTGAAATTAACTGAATTTTTTAAAAATTTGCATAAGGAATCTAAGAGAAACTGAAGCAGAACAAAATGTGAAAGGAGCAGTAAAAGTTTGTAAACAGCTCTAAAGATTTGAAGGATATAAAATGAGCTCAGTTCATTTTTTATCAGGAAAAAATGGCCGAAAAGTCTAAATATTTCAAAAAGCTAAAGTTGCACCAGTCATAGTAAGATTTTCCTGAAAGAGCTGAACGTTGTGATTTATGATTTGTTGAAATAGCACAAAACTTGTGGAAAGAGAAAGATACTGAAAAGGACATTTTGGCGTTTGGAGTTTAGTTTTATTTTTTGCTCTGCTTGGTCAACCCATTAGTTCATCAGTTCAATCAGAACTAAACTCTTAACGAGCTTGATGAAAGAACTATTCACATCGGGTTACTTTACTGATGGGTAGGAGTGGGAGTACTTTATGCTGACTCATCTGACAAACAGGGACTTGAACTCAGATGTTAAGTTCTTCACAACTTTCGTCTAGTCAAACCATTGAGCAACTACTGAAAACATTTAGTGGTTACCTTGATTCTATGGCACTTTCCACAGACAAGGGACAGTAGATCCTATCATAGGTGGTCTCCTGCAACAATAAAGCCAATCAGTATGAACATTCTCACCAAGACACCATAACTAGTTTAAGAGAAGCTACTGACTGTAACTCTGTGAGTAATGACGGTTTGCAGAGCTTCTGAGGAAATCTGCAACAAAGAGCCAACCCTCCTGGACTCAGCCTCGCTGAAGATTCGAGCCACTTCAAAGGATTCGCTCTGAAACAACACCTCTGGTTTATCATCTTAATCTTGAAAATGGGTATGACTTCTCATTTACTTACACACACCTCATAGGAAGTGAAGCAGATGTTACCAAGCTGTAGTATAGAAGAGAGGACTGCCCAGATGGTGGAGACCTGATCAGTACAAAGGCCAATCGTTTCAAAGCACCGAACCAGAAGCTGGAAGTCCTGTTTGTCCTGTTTTCCACTCAGCTCACAGGCACACCCCTACAGACAGCATGACAGACGTGGAAATGAGTCTAGAAACTGCAATGAATAAATGGTAGATGTCCTCGATGTACCATACTTGATTTAAGTAGAAATAGGTCTCGGCTCCCTGCAGATAGAGTTCCTGTTTGTCCCAGTCATTCATACCAGCCAGCAGCTCATAAAACACATGGTAGTTCCTCTCCTCAGTGGCCTATATCATTTAAAAGACAATATTTAAATTAAATTATGCAATGTCCTATAGACCCATTTACAGCCTACGTCAGCAAGAAGCTGCGCTCGCATCGTGGCAACGGAAGTACTGCTTCGGATGGTAAACCCAGGCGGTCTTCTCAAACAGAAAACCTTGGTTGAATGCAGAGGTGCACACCCTGCTAGAAGCCAGGAACACTGCCTTCAGGTCTGGAAACTCAGAGGAGCTGAGTAGGACAAGGAAAGAGCTGGTTGCTGGTATTAAGAAGGCCAAGGCCACATATGCACAGAGGATCGAGGGTCAATTCATCTCACAAGACCCTCAGAGCATGTGGAGGGGCATTAAGTGCATAAAAGATTATAAAGGAAGGAGCGAACAATGCCCCAAAGACCCATCTCTGCCTGATGCCCTCAACAAGTTCTATGCAAACTTTGAAGACCCAAACAGACCACCCAGCACCAGACTCACCTCACCACCGGATGAAGAGCATCTCAGCGTGACCTCAGCAGAAGTAAGGAGTACTTTCAGGAGGATTATTCCACACAAGGCAACCGGCCCAGACAACATCCCCAGAAATATGTTGAAAGAACGTGCCGATCAGCTCTGCAAGGTGCTGGCAGACACCTTTAACACCTCACTTACCCTGGAGACAGTTCCCACCTGCCTGAAGACTGCCACCATCATCCCAGTCCCAAAGAGCTCTACAGTGACTGGTCTGAATGACTATCGGCCAGTGGCCCTCACCCTGATAGTTGCTAAATGCTTCGAAAAACTGGTCATGACTCACATCAAAACAACCATCAACATCAATCAGGACCCTCATCAGTACGCATACTGTGAAAACCAATCAACAGAGGATGCCATCTCCTTAGTGGTCCACACTGCGCTCAACCACCTGGAGCAGAAAGACTCTTACGTCCGTATGCTCTTTGTGGACTTCACATCTGCCTTCAACACCATGATCCCCCAAACCCTGATGGACAAACTATTCACACAAGGACTAAGCCCCTTCATTTGCAACTGGGTACTAGACTTCTTAACAAACAGACCACAGTCAGTCAGGGATGTGTGTTGAGCCAGTCTCCCCACCATCACAGACATCTCCACCTCCAGATGCAGGAAGAGGACCACCTGCATCATGAAGGACCACACTCACCCAGCACAGACACGTTTTGCCCCGCTCCCCTCAGGAAGGAGGTTAAGGAGCATTAAGTGTAGAACCACTAGACTGAGGAACAGCTTCTACCCTGAGGCTGTTAGACTCATGAATCTCTAACCAGAATAATCACAGCGAAAAATCACATCATATTGCTGCTGATCTGTTTCATGTTGCTGCTGATCTGTTTCATGTTGTTGCTGATCTGTTTCATGTTGTTGCTGATCTGTTTCATGTTGTTGTTGATCTGTTTCATGTTGCTACTGATCTGTTTCATGTTGCTGCTGATCTGTTTCATGTTGCTGCTGATCTGTTTCATGTTGCTGCTGATCTGTTTCATGTTGCTGCTGATCTGTTTCATGTTGTTGCTGATCTGTTTCATGTTGTTGCTGATCTGTTTCATGTTGTTGCTGATCTGTTTCATGTCGTTGTTGATCTGTTTCATGTTGCTGCTGATCTGTTTCATGTTGTTGCTGATCTGTTTCATGTTGCTGCTGATCTGTTTCATGTTGCTGCTGATCTGTTTCATGTTGCTGCTGATCTGTTTCATGTTGTTGCTGATCTGTTTCATGTTGTTGTTGATCTGTTTCATGTTGATGTGTTCATTCGTGCTCATCTGCTCACAGACTCATGCTCATGTTTGTGCTGCTGTTCGACGTATTGTTTTTATGCTACTAGTGCTTATTGTATTTTTAGTTGATGTTTTTCTTAGTTCATATCTTAGATGTTATTACTGTTTTTCTTTTACATTTTATTGTTGGATGTAACTGGGACCCTGTGTACATAATTTCACTCCACCACATGTACCACATGAGGTGTGTATGACAATAAAGAATCTCTGACTCTGACTGATTCTTCCAACATAACACAAATTCTAACACTAAATAAGTACCACCACCACAATCAAAATGTCAGGTTGTTGCGTTTATGGTTGTTCAAACCGGTATTCACAGGACGGCTTAAATTCTACCACAGATCAAGGGGTAATCGACCGTTTCAGAGCCACCAAAGGCGGCTGTGGCTTCAGGCTGTCAAATGGGTGGATTGGACTGCACAGGTCTGCGGTGCCCATTTTATATCAGGTAAGGCTATGTGTCTATATTTTATTTCAATAGAAACTCTTGTTATCAACAGTTGTTTGTAAAGCATAGACCCACAATTTATAGCTGTTAGCTAGTTATTAGCTAGTTGCTAATAACATGTTGATTACCTCTTGGTAGACGGTAGAATTTAAGCCCGTCCTGGGAATACTGGTTTGATCAACCGTAAACGCAACAACCTGACATTTTGTTTCTGGTGATGGTATTTATTACTAGTGTTAGAATCTGTGTTACGATGGAATACCGCCTGGGTTCACCATCTGAAGCAGTACTTCCGTTGCCACGATGCCTTCTTTTTTTACTAACACTGAATGGGTCTTTTGTCAAAAACAACAAGAAAAAATAAGTATCTCATCGGGGCAGTCAGAGAAGGTAAACCTGTACAAGTCCAGGTCCAATTTAAAATGTTCCATTTTAATTTTACCATGCAAATGTTGGGTTTATATTTGCATCAAGTGGTAATTATGTACCATTGCTGCAAAATCAAGTAAAATGGTGATTTATGGCTTCCTTGTACACGTTATTTACTTTTCTAAATTCAGTCTCATAGTCAAAATATATTTTGTCTGATACTTGAAAGCATCTATTGGATTCAATTTTATTTGGTTTACAAGTCATTTCAGGAAAAATGTATGAAAGAAGAGATCCAGTTCATATCATTCAATAAAATTCAGTCCAAGCCACATTTAAATTCAAAATCAGACTAAAACAGACTCACTGATTCAATCTACCATCTCTAATAAGCACAGGGCAGAAGATATCAGTAGAGAGAAATCACTTTCTTTTCACAAGATAAAACCTAAACCAGCCCAGACTTGGAACCAGGGTGGGTGGCTGTCTGCATCAGCACCGCTGGGGTCTAAGAGGACAGAATGTTGAGGAATATGCAGTACAAAGTACCACTAATTAGAAATCTTCCTTTGATTATCCACTTTAACACTTACAGATAAGACTGGATGTGGACAGCAGACAGATCAATTTGCTTTTCCAGCTTTTGCTAAAACCATGTGACCAACATGGGTATAACCGGATATTTGTTTGAGTGGAGTCCTCTACAAGCTGAGAAATCTAAGCCAACAGGCTGCTGCTCATTTCCAGGAATCAAATGCAGTCAACCAGAAACAGAACTTGAGACATTTTACTACAGGATGTGACCAGCAATTATCACAATTCATGTGCAAATGTCAAAGAGCTGTTGTTGTTCTATTCAGTGTAGCTTCTATAGACTCGCTGCAAAAATGATCTGACTTTAAAATCTTACCTATGTGGGATAAGAGGAGATGGGCTAGAAGGTTTAGGTAATACAGTACAGTATTAGCAATTATCAGGTGACCGGAGTTTTACTAATAAAATAAATTTTGGCTCAAACTGAACACCAGTAATTATTAGCATAACAATCAGTGTCGTTGTAAGCTGATGTCTCTAAGCACCAGCTTGGAGCAGGTGCCGCACCAAAGAGCAAGCAATAAAGGTAAAGTCCAAGCTCTGACGTTCTCAATCAACAAATACTGTAAACACAAAGAATACAAAATATCACAGACAGAGGCTGACGGTGGATTTGATGATGTCACTCAGGGGAAAAGAGCACCAAGTTGGAACAAAGGATTGGGACACGAACAGAATTCTGGGGTGGTCAGGCTATTCAATTCAGTTTATTTATATAGCATCAAGTTACAACAGAAGTGATCTCAGGGCACTGGACAGAAACATGCATGTATAAAAATAATAATTTAACATTATTTATCTGAGGAGCAGAGTGCTTTGAATTTAACTCCCTCATAGAACTCTCATCTTGAGCAAACATGAAGGCGACAGTGGAAAGGAAAAACTCCCTCATGAGACGAATCAGGAACGAGAACCTCAGCAGACAAGCCAGGAATGAGGACCTTGGAAGACAGACCAAGGATGAAGTAAGGCAAGGACCCAGGGCGAGGCGAGGACCCTGGAACCTCTGCAGACCAAAGATCTTCTGTGGTAGACTCCAGATCTTCAACGGTAGGCAAGTCGGGCGTCAGATCTGCAGCAGGAGAGTCGGGGTTTGGAGCTGCAGCAAGCAATGGGGTCAAAGCTGCAGCAGGTGAAGGAACCAGAGCCTGTGCAGCAGGTGAGGGGACCAGAGCCTGTGCAGCAGGTGAGGGAACCAGAACCTGTGCAGCAGGTGAGGGAACCAGAA